CTACCAGAGTTGTCTCAACCGGCCGCCTGCACCTATAGTGACAGCCATATTGATATCAGCAGTGAAAATGACAGAGAAATAAAAAAAATATAAAGAGCAACACTATCCCGAGGCAATATCACTTTGTCAATCAAAGGAGATAGGATAAGGATATCCTATCTCATCAAACAACAAGTCATCACCAATCACATGCAAGTAGATAAAAACCTGAAAAGAGGAGAGAGTTCTCAGAGAGGGTTTTCAGGGAAGAAAACACAGAGGAAGAGAAAGAGAGAGAAAAAACACACTAGAGAGAAAATTAGAGAATATTCGAAAGGGAAAAAAGAAAAACATTCGGGGAAGAGGGAAAAAAAGAAGAAAATGGGGAAACACAAAGAGATTCGAACCAAACAGAAATAAAATAGAGAAAATAGAAAGAACATAAAAAAGAAGAGACTTACCACTAGACTGCTTGCCAGAAGCTCCAAGGGTCGTCGGAGCCGAAGGAACCGAGGGGTTCCTTTGTAGATCTACGGCGCTAAAGTCCCTTTCAAGCCAAATGAAGCCCAGATCCATACTCAGGGATAAAAAACACTTCGGATAGTGTCTTCTTATCTCTCCTCTGGTGTCGATGGATGGTTGTGGCTGTAGAAGCCGGTCAATGTTGGTCGATGTGGTGTCGTCTCACCAATTTCTGGAAATCTTTTGAACTCCGGTGAGAGCTCTTAATAACTCTCCCTCACTATCTCTCCTCGGGGCCAAGCAGAAATGAAACAAATGAATTAATGGCCTATTTTGACCTAAATTTTGGGCATATATGCGCAACACCAAACGGCGTCATTTAGAGAGGGATCGAGAGTGTAATTTCAACATTTGAGTAAACTCCACTTTGGGTCCTTCTGATTTTGAACCTTATTATTTTAGTAACTAATGAAACTTTTATTTCCATTTATTTTGATCACTTATTTTGTTTATGTTATAATTTCATCCTCATTTAACTTTAAATGTTTTTATGTTTATATTTAAGCTTGGATCCTTGTATTCTAGTTTATCTATATTTAACCAGTACATGTTTATATTAATTTATTTTAGTCACTTTTTTCTGTTATTGCATTTTTTGTTAAGTTTCTATTAGTGTTTGACTTTGGCTATGATATTTGTAATTGTTTCATTTTAGTCATTAATTTCATGTGTTGTATGATTTTTGTTGATGTTCAAATTTGACCCTAGGGTTTATGAATCTATTATTTTGGTCACCTCTTTTCCATGAATGCATTTTGGTATAATTATGGTTTATCCTTTCATATTTTCTTGTTTAGTTATTTTAGTTCTTATTATTACTTATGGGTTATTTTCATTTTCAGTCTCTATTGTTTGATATTTTCGATTGAGATATTGGTTTGTGTTGTAATCATATTTTGGTCCTTTAAATTTCTGTTACACTTATTCTACTTCTCCATGTACTAATATATTTTACATTATATGTATTATATTAAATAAATATTATCAATGGTTGTGGTAAATATATATGGTTATTTTTTTAATATTTATTTCCCTTGTGTTTCTTTATCTATTGTAAATTATTTGAATACTTTCAAGAGCACCAATTTGTAGGACGGACGTGGAAAGCATTACTTGATCGAAGTAATGTGATCCGATACGACATTCGAACAAAATGTGAACTTGAAATAAATCGATTTTATTTTGCTAATTATTAATTCATTTTTATTTTAACAATGCAATGCATGTTTATATACATAGCAATTTATTTTATTTTATGCAAAATGTTGATTATGCAATTTATATTTGATTTTTGTTTTTATATATTGGAATATAGAATATTCTTTTATGAATGAAAAATAGTTCAGATAGTTTTCCCGACGGAGGATTGCAAAATTCAAGATTTCTTATCGATTAAGAGGATTTTCTTTAAATAATCAATTCCAATCAAATTAATTAACTTTAATAAATGGATCATATTTTAATTATCGATGTGAATTCATGATTTTCGCCATTACGACAATGTGTAAGCGATTAAGTACCAATTTTGGGCGTTGTGGGGGTGCTAATCCTTCCCCATGCGTAATCGACTCCTAAACCCGTAAAATTGAGTTTTTGGTAAACTCAGACCAATTTTTTGTCTTAAAAATGATTTTTCTTAAAATTGTTTCAAAAGACATTTTTAGATATTCGACTTACCTAACCCAAAGGTTGATGGAGACTCCAATTCAATTTAATTCAAATCAATTCCAAATCATGAATTTTCCAAAATAAAGTCACAATTGTTTTTTTAATAATATTTAATTATTTTTTCAAAAAAATGGTTATGACAGCTTGGCGACTCCATTAGAATTTTTTTAGAGAGTCAGGCTATAAGTTGCTTACACATTTTCGTAGTGGTGTAAATTATAAGTTCGAGTTTATAGTTAACTTATGATCCATTTATTGAAGTTTTTTTTATTTTTTCGTTTTTAATTAAGATACAAATATTTTAAATCTTTCTTTTCAGCAGTGTTCAAGTCTTTATTGAGAGTTTTCTTTTTTTCTTTAGAGTCAAAGGTTTGTATGTTCCTCCTCAGACACATCACGTGCATTTACATGGCATAAGCTCTAGACCCGAGCTTCGATCCAGATAAGTCGGGGTGAATGTTTTACTCTCATAAGAATTTATTCTTCGTATGATTTTTAGCAAATAACCCACGGGATACATACCTTATACCTTTGTAGGGATTTATTCCTCGTATGGGTATAAGGCAGTGAATCCCCTAGAATTGAACCTGTTCCGTTCGAAACTTGTAATGGGTGAGGAGTAAGGGTTTGGCAGCCCAATGGGGCACCGACATCGAGGACAATTCGAATATCCTTTCCCGTTAGAGCCAAAACCATGCATATAGTGAACCGTAGAACGGTCACCCTAGGTATAGTCATACCGAACCTTTTTCCATTAGTAGGTACCCAAGATAAGTGTACACAAAGGAGGAGTGTTTCTGAACCTTTCCTTTTGCTTTAAATTTTATTGAATAAAAGCATGCAAACTAGATACCATGCGGTTGCGATCATTTTCTTGAAAATAAATTATTGCAGGTAAAAAGCATATCCGGGTAAGATTGCTATCTATTGAAAGCATGCTCAGGTAGATACCATGATCGTGTAGGTTTTATATTTATCTTTAAATAGCATCTTTTAACTCTATTGATTATTTTACTTGTACTAACTTATTCCTTTTCTTTTGTTTGTGTCATTTTTCATCATTTTTGCATTGCATTTCATTAACATAACATAATGCGAAAGTGTTAATCCGCAAGGGGATATTCAAGAGAAAATTTTCACAAGAAGAGGTAAAAGTTTTCAATCAAGCAGTCGCATACACAGACATGCACCGAGGGCTAAAAATAAGTTCAGGGTACAAGAATGATACTTGCTCGAAGATTGTGCAGCATTTGAGACTGAAATGATGATCCATTGATCCGAGGAGTAATACGACATTAAATCTTTGTTTATAATCATTTTATCACTAATTTCCATGGAGTGACGCATTGACTTTATCACCACAGGGGAATTGATGGAGTTAGGTTATAGAACGCCTGAAGGGCATCATTTTCAAGGACGAAGATCCGAGATGAATTAATGACCCACTTCATTCAACATCTAAGCGAAAGCATGTCTGTAAAATGGACTACCTTGTAATATGAAGGCTTTTATCTCTGGTGAAAATTATTCTATGATATTCACCATTGGGATCAACATTTTTGAATCTGCATTTGCATCATTTCATTATGCATGGCATCCATTCAAACATTTTTACATGCATCATTCATGAAGACATACAATTAATTCATGGAGGATTCAATGAAGTGGTCCTAACCATGTGATATCACATGGAAGAAGATTTGAACAATTAAAGAAAAAACTGAAATCGGTATGGTAGGAGCCTATTCACCTAGTCGTAGGGTTGAGCCTTCTAAGATGATCCGAGAAAAGAGTCCCCATACCCTAAAGGCTACGATATTGATATTGTGTGCAGTTACCACATAGGAAGCTCCAGACATTCCACTGAGAACTGTGGGGCATTAAAGCAAGGTCTAGAATCTGATTGATTAAGGGGCATGGATAGTCGAAGAATGATGGGGCATTCTAGTGATAATCAAGAAGAGATCTTTGCATCTACTAGGGAGCATTTTGCAATTGCTATGAGAGAATTGTTTTGTTTGAACTCGTTTTTGTTCTGTTTTTAATATTTGCTTAAATATTTTTAAATCTTTAAATGATTGAATTTATGTTACTTTCCAAGGTTGAATAATTGAACGAATTTTAATCTTGTAGTTCTTCGAATATCGAATGGATTGCATATTCTTTTAGTTCTTCAAGAAGTATATATTTTTTACATATGGCAATATTAAACCTTTCTTATACCATCCAAAACCAAAAATAAAACCTCTCGATTCTTTACTAGAATAATTCATGGTCGCTACCAAGACCAAATTTTGACATTACATCTCTTTGAGAATTTGATATATTGCCTTTATCTTCTTTGAAACACAAAAAGTCATACCCATACCTTTCGTTGAGCCAATTTTCTGACAACGTGCAAGCGATTAAGTACCAATTTTGGGCGTTGTGGGGGTTCTAATCCTTCCCCATGCGTAATCGACTCCTTAACCCATAAAATTGAATTTTTAGTAAACGCATACCAATTTTTTGTCTTAAAAATTATTTTTCTTAAAATTGTTTTAAAAGACATTTTTAGGTATTCGACCTACCTAACCCAAAGGTCGATGGCGACTCTCATTCAATTTAATTCAAATCAATTCCAAATCATCAATTTTCCAAAATAAAGCCATAATTATTTTTTAAAATAATATTTAATTATTTTTAAAAAAAATGGTTATGACACTAATATAGCAAAGCAATTATTTATAGTAAATTTTAACATATTGCAGAAATAAAAATTATTGGCATATTCAGGTAGACAATGAGCACTAGGTTAAATCATTAAACAAAAAAACATAAATTCAAAAGTTTAATTTAGATGATGATTTTAAGTCAAACTATTTATTCCTCTACTTCCAACCAAAACCAGGCTACATAGAGCGACAAACCTTTCCTTCTTCAATTTTCTCAATTCCAGACTCGTTGCTTCGCAAACCATGTATTTTATCTCCAACACGAACTATTCCAGATGAGATACGCCCAGTCAAAATTCGCCCAAGATAAGTGTCTTTTTCCATCATGGAAACCTGAAATGATTATCATGTAATAAGAAATTTACAGCATGAAAGAAATGAGGAAGGATAAAAAGGACACCAGGTACTTTTCTCCTATTGAAAACACAAAGATACATTGTGAAGTGGTCAATCAGTAACGAATACCAACCAGCATTTGGAAAGGTCCATCAAGGTTTGCTTTTGGTGGAGGAACATGCCTTACAAAGGCATCAAGCAACTGTGACATATTCTTTGCACCAGCAGGAGGATCTTTAGTATAGGTTGAAGATGCCCAACCTTCTTTAGCAGAAGCATAGAGGATCGGAAAGTCAAACTGTTCCTCTGAAATGCAAATATGAGAAAAATTATTAATATTATACAATTATCCAAGTTAGGAATAAGGCCATAGTCAACAAATCTGAAACAGGTTAATCATAGAACTTCTAATATTTCTGCATTGCTTCACCTGTAGCACCAAGATTTGCAAAAAGATCGAGTACTAGACTCTCAACTTCATTACATCTCTCCTCTGATACTGCATCATTAACAAAATGACATAAGGTCTAAGGATTCTTCCATTTGCATAACAAATAAGAAAAAAGAAAAGGGGATAAAAATATCAAGATAGCTAGTAATTCCACAACAGGTATACGTTCTTACAAAAATAAAGAATCATGAAATAACATTTGACATTTCAGTTTCAGTTTCAGTTTCAGTAAATTAAAAGATGAAAAAAAAAAATTAATTTTATACCAGAAGGTCGGTCTACTTTGTTCAATAGAAGAAGGTGGCGCAGCCCATAGTTCAAGGCTTTGGCAAGAACAAATTTTGTTTGTGCAAGTGGCCCCTCACCAGCATCATCAAATAATACTGCTCCTTCAACCATGCCAACAACCCGTTCAACCTGAAGATTTAGCAAGCAAGACGCAGTAGGTTGCATGCTTTAGGTTTCAAAAGAGTGCAAATTATGTTCACTATTTGCCTTTTCAATCGAAACTTTGTTGCCTTCCACTAAATCACTTTGAATGACAATATAAAGAACAGAAGAAAAAAATGTGCTTGTCTAGATGATCAGTATAACAACGAATGAAATTACAAACTTTTTAGTACAAAATATGTAATTTGCAGCTTACCTCAATAGTTAAAGGATTTTTAAAATTGTGTGTGTTCTTTTATTTAAAATTATGTATATTTATATTTGTTGGTTTCATGGCCATGTATATGTTCATTTAACATTTTTGCAAAACACGAATTGACTTACCTCAATAGTTAAATAAATCGTTATTATTCTTAAATTTCACGGGTTCGAGCACAAAAGCCTAGACCATGGAAATTTAAAAAATCTATCGTAAATCAAACATCGTAGTGGATTTCATATCTTAGATAAACATTACTAATTTCCCTTGCCGTTAAAAACTTAGAGCAATAACTCCTCATTTTTCAGAGTAAAATATGAACAAAAGTTCATATCCTCCCCCAAGTGTGGACAGCAGCAAGATGGAAACGTAAATGTTATATTCTCTTTAATTTATCTCTCATTCTAGTTAGATTTTAGGTTGCTCACATCAATTTTTCTTTAAGATAAATATATTATTATAAGGTTTTAATGAGTGTTAAAAATCGTAAAAAAGTCTCACATCAATTTGTATGTAATATCGAATTGAGGGGGATATAAATGTCTAATTGTTTAAGAAGACGTGTGAGATAGATATGAAGTGTTTTATGGTTCAAGAACATGTGTGAAGTGAGTATAATTTGATAATATTGAATGGACGATAACGATAGTCATTGTTTTGTCTTTTGCAATTTTTTTAACACAAAAGGTCCACATTTATATTACTTTTTATTTAGAAATAATAATTCATTTAAATTATCTTTATTTAAATATTAGCTAATGTTAATGATAATAATTAAAATTATCTTTATTTTAAATAATAGTTAATCTTATAGATACCGATTAAATAAACTATTTTTTAAAAATTTATCTTTTAATTGCTGTAAAAATTAAAAAGAATAGTTTTAGGAGTAGTTTAGCTTATACTTAAAAGTGAAATCATTTTGGTCTAAACAAATATCGAATCATCTTAATTTCATAACCTTCAAATGTTTATAAAAATACACATTCAATATATATTAGATAAGGGTACAGATTTAAAATTATATTTTATTATTTAAAGTGTTTATGAGATTGTTTTTTGAATTTAGAAACTACGACTTGTTTATTACAGTGTATCTAATTTTGTGGTAAAATGTTTTGAAATTGGAGTTTTGCTAATGGTAGAAATGAGCCTTGAGGAGGGATAAATAACGGTAAAGGAACATAGTGTGTGGGGTGTGAGAAGAAGATTAAATGTTTCAGGACTCAGGAGTAAACTAGTGAATAATAGGTAAGAATATGCTCAAAAATTGATTTATAAGTATTTTAGCACAAAAGGTGTGCCTCGCTTACAAAAGGCACGCGCCTTTGTCACGCACCTTACATTTAGGCTCCATGGACCTTTCGTGTCTCAGTGTGTCTTGTGCCTTTTAAAACCAATGTCAAGAGGTAGATTGACCTTTAATTTTTTTTATTGTGGAAATAATCGAAAGATAAAACATTTATACAATAATTTAAAAAAAGTTTGACTTCTAAAGAAAATTTACATTCAATACCTTAGTTATACACAGTAAAGATTTCTTAAATCCACTAGATTTGCTTACATTTAAGGACAAGTTGTAACCTTACAAATACTCTCAAGATTTGTACCCAAAACCTTGATTATACTCTATCTAAAAGAGGAATTACAAACTTAATAAACAAAAGAAAAAACTCGCAATATGAATGTGTTTGTGCAATTAAGCATTCATCAAAATAACACTTGAGCAATATAGAAAATTAAACTCACAAGTGTTTTACAATGAAAATTTTGAACATATATTTTTATACGTGCACCACATGCCATACATTAAAGGAAGATTGACTAATTCTTTCACTTGGCCCAATCACACGTGCCAATACTAAATTGTTGAAAGACAAGCTTCAAGTTACAATTCAAGCCTTCCTCAGCATGGGACTCAACACCCATATAGAGACTGAAAAATTCAAGAAAGGACATTCATCACTCCTTCCTCTCACATCTACTTGGATCATAACAACTAAAATTGAAGTTGCCTTAGAACCAAAAAATGACACAGCCAGAGATAGTCCTGAACATATCTTTAAAGTATTTTAAGGGGATAACCTTGTAAAGTTAACTAATTGCTACTTTTATAAAGTATGAGATAACTCTTTCCTTTTCTATTTAAGATTTAAGTTATGTAAACTCAATTCTATAAGGGTTAGTTCTTCCTTCTACTAGTTTAGTTAGGTTAAGGTTAGAAAGGTAATTTGCTTGTAACCAGAAACCTTAGTCACCCCCTTCTCTTAATCATGCCAGCACCTTCCAGAAGCCTAATCTAGGTCGTCCATCGGATCCAATCAATGAATATCACATCTTGGATTCAAGTTCCCTGTTTTCATCTCAACCATCAGATCAAAAACTTCATCAATGGTTCACATCAATAGCCACCCACCATGCATCTTCTACAAGTCCATTACTTTTTCACTTTATTCTTATTTTATTCATTAGTTACTTAGATTCATGGAAATCCTCACCTTATACAAAGGAAGCTTCATTCACTTTTTTAAATGATCTTATTCTTGAATTATAATACTACTTGAATATGTTTTTGCAAGTACTAATATCCTTATGCCTTCAAAGCATTCTTCATCATATAAGTTCTTGAAGTTCTGGCAAGGGAGATCCCCACAATCCAATTTACCTTTCTATTGTGGTCAAGAGGGTCGATTAAATCCTATTTTAGTGTTTGCCTAATCAATTGTGGCTAGGAGGGTGCTTAGCATGGACAGAGCCAGAATTAAACATTGACAGGGACTGAAATATTAGACAATTTAAGCAAAATATAAAGACTTATTAGGTATTTAAACTTGAAATTCAACATGAACCAAACGACCTTAGTGATTAAGGGATTGTTGTTATCCTTAAGGTCCCGAGTTTAAGCACTGAGTATGTAGGGGTATGAGCGTTCTTTTTCAAATAGTTGAAGACTTTGTACAGATACTACCTTGTATTCACCTTAAATTTAAAAAAAAAACTCAAAATTCATAAGACAACTTCAAATTTGTCTAATATTTAAACTGACAATAACCTAAATTGTAATTAGACCAAAAACTTGAGAACACAGACTTATCATTCTTTAGTTTGACCCCTACTTGATTACATATTTAATATATTTTTAAATTTAAATATTTATTTTTACATGAACCAAAATACTATTAAATCAAAATTATATCAAATATACAAATCTTAACAGTCGGCGTCCCCTTGGGCCCTAAGGGAGCTCCATCCCACGTGCTTAGGAAACTTATCCATCATCATCATTCACGCAAATTTCATCACCATAACCATCATTCACACCAACTTCATTCATAGAAGTTTCAATTCAGCTTATTTCATATTTTATTTATCTTTTCGTTGTTCTTTTTACACATTTGTTGAAAACATTTTGATGTTTCGATATAATAAATAAATATGTTAATGAATTTTAAGATTTTATATTCGATTTAGTTATTTGAATATTATAAATATTACTCCAAGTCTTCAAATATCAATTTTACTCCTTACTAAATGAAAATTTGAGATTTATACTTCAAATATTTTTGAAACAATTTTTAGAAAGTATTTTGAACCATAATCAAGTCAAAATTGAGTTTTAAATAGGTTAGTACCGATGCTTCCTTAAACAGTATCGATACCCCCCAAACATCGAATGCAAAAGATGTATCGATACCCTACCAGTATCGATACCCTTATATATAATAGTACTGATACCATGATTATGGGTACCGAAACTACTTTGATTTTGACTTCGAGACAAACATCGAATGCAAAATGGGTACCGATACCATGAGATATATCGATACCGTTGAAGTTGCAACGGTCAAAATATTTGAATTTTATACAGGTAGTATCGATACCCTTTAGTGGAGTACCGATACCCATACGCTCCCAATAGCTTTTTAAAGTGGAAAACATACAACAACGGCTCTATTGACTCCATGATCATCCCCAATGTTTAGAATTCATTCAAGGGGTATTTAAACAAGTCTTGAAGCCATTGATGAAAAAGAAGAAACAAGTTTTGAGAAAGATTTCAAAGAGAGAAAGCCTTAAACTTATTTTTTGAGCAAATCAAGCCAACATCCATTCAATATTCATTTTACTTTCAAGAACACCATTTGTGCTCAATTGTATTTATTCTTAAGTGTTCTTTCGTTTTTTCTAGAATTGTGAAAACAATCTTACCTGCTTAGGTTTTTCTTCTAAGTTTGCAAAATTTGTAATTTTCTCTTTGAGAAAGAGTGTCTCAGGAATTTGGGGTATAATGTTGTAAGGTTACTCTTTGACCTAAACAAAAGACAAATTAATGAATTTATGGAAAATCCTTAGTGTGGATAGCTAAGGTAGTGGATGTAGACTTTGGTTGAGAAAGTCGAACCACTCTAAATCGCTGTGCAAATATTTTTATTTTCTGTCAAGCTTCCACCAAATTTTATTTTCCAATTCACCTCCCCTCTTGGCTATTTCATCCAATCGATTGACTCAACAATATCCATTATATATTGTTTATTATCTATCCATCGAATCTAAACTTTTTTAATTGTGTCAGGAAACATTTAGGCCATCTCTTTGATCTTTGCTAAGCTAAAGCTAGAGTCTCTAGGATACCAAATTCCTATACTAGGAGTTTTATGGATAGGAAGAGCACCTCCGGTACTTGTCAATTCCTAGAAAACATGTTAATTTCTTAGTTTTCAAAGAAGAAAAATAGTGTTGCATTATCCACCACTGAAGCGGAATACATTTCAGTCGGTAGTTGTTGCGCACAAGTTTTATGGAT